ACGAAGCCGAGCATATAGCCCTGGTGCGCCAGTGTTGAGGGGGTGTTGGAGCATGCTTTATGTAGCAGAAAATGCTTGTTTTTTTCCAGGGTCTATCTCCTTTTTGGGTTATGATTGTCCGCGTTGGTGTGAAGATAGAGGTTGACGTGGTTGTCTGCCATGCGTAATTGGGAAACTTCCAACCACTGTAAAGAGGTGGCAGCAGGTTTTTTGGGGTTTTGCTAATTTACCGAGGTTTATCGGGCTTGGGCAGGTGGCAGCTCCCATTCGTCCTGCTGAAGGGGGGGCCCGGTTGCAATTTTTGCAGGGTCAGTGAAGCGACAGGCAGTTTTTAAACTGAAAACCTGGTTCACTTCGGGCTCCGGTGAGCGTGGGTTCCATCGTGGCCCCCAAAAAAAAAAAAAAAAAAAAAAACCCTACCAAAAAAAAAAGGGGGTTTTAAAAAAAAAAATAAAAAAAAAAAAAAACCCCCCAAAAAAAAGAAAAAAAAAAAAAAAAAAAATTTAAAATTTAACCCCCCCAAAAAAAAAAAAAACCCCCTTTTTAAAAAAAAAACCCCCCCCAAAAAAAAATAAAAAAAAAAAAAAAAACCCCCCCAAAAAAAAAAAATTTTCAAAAAAAAACCCCCCCCCCACCACCCCTTTTCCCTTTTTTCCCCCCCCCCCTCCATTTTTAAAAAACCAAACAAAAACCCCCCACAAAAAAAAAAAAAACCCCCCACCCACACCCCCCCCCAATTTTTTCACCCCAACCCCAAAACCCCCCCAAAAAAACCAACACCCCCAACAAAAACCCCCACACCCCACAACCCCCCACCCCCCACCCCCCCCCCCCCAAACCCCCCCCCCTTTTTTAAAAACCCCCCCCCCCCCAAACCCCCCCCCCCCCCCCTCCTCCTTTTATGTTTTACCCTTTTTTCCCTCCCCTCTTTAAAATTTTGGCTAATGGGGCCCAAAAACCCCCCCTTTTTACCCCCCCCTCCTCTTTCTCCCCCTCCCGGTATTTTCCCCCAAAACCCCCCCCGCAACCCCTTGACCCTCCTTCCTTCCTTCAACGGATTCCCCCTTTCTCAAAAAACCCCCCCCTCCCGGGTTCCCAAAAGAAGATCCCCTTTTTTTTTTTCCCAAACTTTTAGGTGCCCCTTTAAAAACCCTTTTTCTTTTTCAAAACCTTTTGACCCGTTTTAAAAACGGTCTTCAATAAACTTTTTCCCCGGGGTTCCCCTTTAAAAGCTTTCCCCTTCCCCCCCTTTTTTTCCTTCTAACCTTTCTGCCTTTTTTAACCTGTCTCCTTCAACCCCCCCGACTCCTCCGGGGGCTACCCCGGGGGGTCCCCCGGAGGGGTCCCCCCTACCGTGCCAAACCTCCGAAGTGTTCCCCCCCACTGGTTCCCCGGGGCCGGGGCTAGTTTCCTTTTTTCTCCCTATACCCAAGTCATTTGGCCTTTTTTCCCCTTCCCTCTCCTACAGTACGCTGACGATAACAACAACTTCCCCTTTTCCCCCCCTTCTGATAAAAAGGTGGCGAATCGATCTTGAAGTTTTCCCTTCATTAAATTTTTTACCACAAATTTTTTGGGGGCCCCCTTTCCCCCCAAAGGGGGCCATCCCCGGGTTTTTGGTTCCCCTTTGGCCCCCCCAAGGGCGAAAGGCCTTCTTTTCCCCTCCACCCTTTTTTCCTTTGTCCCCCGGGGGGTTCCTCTTTTCCCGCCCCTTTTTTTAAAAAGTCGCCCGCCCCCCGGGGGGCCACGGTCCTAACCGGGATTGTTACCCCCTTTGGTTCTTAAAGCGTTGGGGGGCCCCCCCATTTTTAAAACCCCCCCCCCAAGGGGCCCCCGTTTTTCCCCCCCTTCCTCCGCACCCCCCCCTCCCCCCCCCCTCCGGCCCCGGTTTAAAACTCCCCCGCCCCCCGGGGTTAAACCAAAGGGGGGGGTCCCGCCCAGTGTCTACCACGGGTGTCCCCAGGGCTCATTTCTGGCCCCCCCTTTTTCTCTCCTAATACACCAAGTCACTTGGCTCTGTCATATCCTCACATTGCCTCTCCTATCATTGCTACGCTGACGATACACAACTAATCTTCTCCTTTCCCCCTTCTGATAACCAGGTGGCGAATCGCATCTCTGCATGTCTGGCCGACATATCAGTATGGATGACGGATCACCACCTCAAGCTGAACCCTGGCAAGACGGAGCTGCTCTTCCTCCCGGGAAGGACTGGCCCGTTCCATGATCTCGCCATCACGGTTGACAACTCCGTTGTGTCCTCCTCCCCAGAGTGCGAAGAGCCTTGGCGTGACCCTGACAACACCCTGTCGTTCTCCGCTAACATCAAGGCGGTGACCCGATCCTGCAGGTTCATGCTCTACAACAATCGGAGAGTACGACCCTGCCTTACACAGGAAGCGGCACAGGTCCTAATCCAGGCACTTGTCATCTCCCGTCTGGATTACTGCAACTCGCTGTTGGCTAGGCTCCCTGCCTGTGCCATTAAACCCCTACAACTCATCCAGAATGCCGCAGCCCGTCTGGTGTTCAACCTTCCCAAGTTCTCTCACGTCACCCCCCCCTCCTCCGCACACTCCACTGGCTTCCAGTTGAAGCTCGCATCTGTTACAAGACCATGGTGCTTGCCTATGGAGCAGTGAGGGGAACGGCACCTCCGTACCTTCAGGCTCTGATCAGTCCCTACACCCCAAACGAGGGCATTGCGTTCATCCACCTCTGGCCTGCTGGCTCCCCTTCCTCTGCGGAAGCATAGTTCCCGCTCAGCCCAGTCAAAACTGTTCGCTGCTCTGGCACCCCAATGGTGGAACAAGCTCCCTCACGACGCCAGGACAGCGGAGTCACTCACCACCTTCCGGAGACATTTGAAACCCCACCTCTTTAAGGAATACCTGGGATAGGATGAAGTAATCCGTCTAGCCCCCCCCCCCCCCCCCCCCCCCCCCCCAAAAAAAAAAATGTTGGTAAAAATTGTTGTAAAGTGGTTAACCCACTGGCTATAGGGTGAATGCACCAATTTGTAAGTCGCTCTGGATAAGAGCGTCTGCTAAATGACTTAAATGTAAATGTAATGTTAAGGAGAACAAAGTCAAGGTATTGGAGTGGCCATCGCAAAGCCCTGACCTCAATCCTACAGAACATGTGGACAGAACTGAAAAAGCGTGTGCGAGCAAGGAGGCCTACAAACCTGACTCAGTTACAACAACCAGCTCCGTCAGGAGGAATGGGCCAAAATTCACCCAACTTATTGTGGGAAGCTTGTGGAAGACTACCCGAAACGTTTGAACCCAAGGTTAAAACAATTTAAAGGCAATGCTACCAAATACTAATTGAGTGTATGTAAACTTCTGACCAACTGGGAATGTGATGAAATAAATAAAAGCTGAAATAAATCACTCTACTATTATTCTGAAATGTCACATTCTTAAAATAAAGTGGTGATCTTAACTGACCTAAAACAGGGAATTTTTTATAGGATTAAATGTCAGGAATTGTGAAAAACTGAGTTTAAATGTATTTGGCTAAGATGTAAACTTCCGACTTCCACTGTATATATATATTTTTTCTTCCACTGGTCCTCCATGGGAAACGAACGCACAACCTTGGCGGTGCAAGCGACATGCTCTATCAACTGAGCCATCATTGAGATGTAGACATATAGGTAATATGTTGTGCATGTACAGTGAGGGAAAAAAGTATTTGATCCCCTGCTGATTTTGTACGTTTGCCCACTGACAAAGACATGACCAGTCTATAAAAAAAAATGTCAAAAATGGTATAAATTGATTTGCATTTCAATGAGGGAAATAAGTATTTGACCCCTCTGCGAAACATGACTTAGTACTTGGTGGCAAAACCCTTGTTGGCAATCACAGAGGTCAGATGTTTCTTGTAGTTGGCCACAAGGTTTGCACACATCTCAGGAGGGATTTTGTCCCACTCCTCTTTGCAGATCTTCTCCAAGTTATTAAGGTTTCGAGGCTGACGTTTGGCAACTCGAACCTTCAGCTCCCTCCACAGATTTTTTATGGGATTAAGGTCTGGAGACTGGCTAGGCCACTCCAGGACCTTAATGTGCTTCTTCTTGAGCCACTCCTTTGTTGCCTTGGCTCTGTATTTTGGGTCATTGTCATGCTGGAATACCCATCCACGACCCATTTTCAATGCCCTGGCTGAGGGAAGGAGGTTCTCTCTCAAGATTTGACGGTACATGGCCCCGTCCATCGTCCCTTTGATGCAGTGAAGTTGTCCTGTCCCCTTAGCAGAAAAACACCCCCAAAGCATAATGTTTCCACCTCCATGTTTGACGTGGGGATGGTGTTCTTGGGGTCATAGGCAGCATTCCTCCTCCTCCAAACACGGCAAGTTGAGTTGATGCCAAAGAGCTTGATTTTGGTCTCATCTGATCACAACACTTTCACCCAGTTCTTCTCTGAATAATTCAGATGTTCATTGGCAAACTTCAGATGGGCCTGTATATGTGCTTTCTTGAGCAGGGGGACCTTGCGGGCGCTGCAGGATTTCATGGTATAAATCTCCCACAGGAGTTCCTAATATGGGAATATCCCAATATCCAACAGCTGATAAAAGCATTATGAGGGGAACCCTCAGAATTGTGCTTGCTACTCCATCTAGAGGCCTTGAGCGATAATGCATGTTATTCTCCAGAAAATGTGGAGATAACTGATTGCATTAGCGTTGTTACATTGTTACAAACTGTTCACATCTTTGCACATTTCTGAAGGTCACAGTTGGCCTCCTGCTTACGTCTTTGCCTCGGTTGTCTCCCTTCGGAGTTTGAAAGTTAACCAGCGATTGATTGACATGTAGTTGAACTACTAAACCCCTGCCCTTATCAATGACAGTGATACCAATCAAAGACAAAACACAATGCAACGACAAAAGGTTTATTGAAGATAAAATGGGTGGGGTGTGGGAAGGGGATTGGGGATGAAGAAAAAGTGTGAGAGAAAATAGAAACACCATTGTTGGTGCCTGCATCAGTGATCTCCCTGTATAGTGTTGTGGTGGCAGGTGAGGCGGCTCTCATCCTTGTTGATTTCATCCTCTTTCTTGGAAGCCACTTTAGCCTGAAAAACGAAAGGTATAAAATATAGAAAACCTATTTTACAGACAGCCATTGTCACTGGATATTAGCATCAAAATAGTTGATAAATGATTATGTTAAGTACAAAAGAGAATTACAGTATGAGTTATTACTTACAGGCTTCTTGTTCGTCCCCCTGAGAGCTCTCCAGAGAGATGAGAATAATCCACACCTCTTCTTCTTCTTGGCAGCAGCAGTTGATGAGATGTCAGTTGACATCAGTAGTAGAGGTAAGACATTTTCTCAGCAGACTGCTCCAGGCTGGTAGCACTAGCATCAACTTCACGTAAAGCAACATGGCTACTCTTGGTTGAACCCATAGAAATAGTGATGGTAAGTCTACTTCCCTTGGTTGACACATCAGCCACATGGACCTCAGGTTGGTTGGAGGCTCTCAGGGTGGAGTCCTCATCCTGAGACACTAGATTTGTAGCAGACTGGAACCGGTCATTCTCCACGATGGAAACACTGGTAGACAGAACCTGACATACTAGGCCTGCAGCAGACTGGATCAGGTACATTCTCCACAATGGAAACACTGGTGGACAGAACCTGAGACACTAGGCCTGCAGCAAGACTGGATCAGGTCATTCTCCGCAATGGAAACACTGGTGGACAGAACCTGAGACACTAGGCCTGCAGCAGACTGGATCCGGTCATTCTCCAGCAATGGAAACACTGGTGGACAGAACCTGAGACACTAGGCCTGCAGCAGACTGGATCAGGTCATTCTCCAAAATGGGAAACACTGTGGACAGAACCGAGAACCTAGGCCTGCATGCAGACTGGATTCAGGTCATTCTCCATAATGGGCAACACTGGTGGATCCAGAACCTGAGATACCTAGGCCTGCAACGACTGGTTCGGTGTGTCTTCCTTGATGGAACACTGTGGACAGAACCTGAGGAGTCTGCTGGAGTGTCAGTGGCCTCCCACTCATCCAGGAAGAAGCTCTCACAGAGGGGGAAGCTTCTTCCTTTCAGAACTGGGGGAATGTAGGGGGGTGTACCCAACAGTCCAGAGCAGAGAGCTGTTGATGGCATTCGCGTAGTGGTACTTGTCGCCAAGTACCTCTGCAAAGCTCTGACGGATGGTTCTGACTCTCTGACTCTGGACCTTCAAGGCTGTTGAGTTGGGTCACCATTGAAATCCACCCTGAAAGAAACGCCATGAACAGCACAGGATCAACAAAACAGATTTTTAGCATTATAAGAAAGGGAGGGATATTTTTCCTTTTCACTCATGGCAAATAATGTGTGTTCCAATAATATCTCCTATTTCCTTAAAGTGTGCACTCCTTCTCTACTTCCCAGACATCTTAAACCGTTGGATTGGTGGAGGCATAGGCTAGTGGGAGTTTCAACCATATTTCTTATACCAGTCATTTCTTTTCAATTCAGTGAAGTGAACAAGTGCGCACTTTGGGGAGGAAGGAGAGATAATTGAGACATTGCATATTTTACTTGGCCTAGTAAAACCATTTACAGCTGTAAATATTCATTTTGCATGGTTACATTGCTTGGTAACTAACAACAAAAGCCTTTACAGCCATCTTATTCTAAGTTTGAAGATATTTCCTTTCTACTAAGAATTAAATCAATTAATATTTTAGTTTTAAGACTGAAATAATTAAATTATTCTTACCTGAGTTAACTGCGTTGTCCTTAATAGAATAATGTCCGTCTTCAGGGAGGATGAATGAAAAGCTTTGCCATAATCTGTATCTCTCGTTTGTCGATCAAGAACTGAAGATTTCTTGAGAGTTCTGGAACATAACTCTCTGGTTCTGCAGGTTCCATACGAAGCGTCGTCATTGTGACCCGCTCTGTCGCATAGAGATGGAATTCTTTATGTCCAGAATGCCATTACGCAGGGGTTTTCGAATGGAATTCGGTTACACTTTATTTGGATAGTCCCAAGTGGATGTTTGTAGATGTTCAATAACTGTCAGCATTTCAACTAACTATCCACTAACCCTAGCCTTAACCCTTAACATTAGCCCCTAAACGTAACCCTTTACCTTATTCTAAACTAACCCTAACCTTGGCAAGCAGTTGCTTATCAACAGATCGTTTGTTGAAAGTATGCCCATCTGTCGATTATTTATACGGGACTATCCAAATAAAGTGTGACCAGGAATTCTCTCTCTGTTTAATATTACTACATTTATTTATATAGCACTTTTCATTAAAGAGAATTTCAAATACGCTTTTAAAAACAAAACTAATGTAGGATTCTGACATTGGCTGGTTTGACTTGGGGGATGGTTTCCACAGCTGACGGTGTTGAGGCAGTTCAGAAAGGTAGTAGCAGCGGAGGGAGCGTCGATGGTACAGGGAGGGAGAACCGTCAGTCGGATAGACGGGCCCGGAGCTCTTAATCGGGCACCTTCGCTGTATTCTCCTCCTCAAGTGGATCATCAACAACCGAAGGTGTAGCACATGAGAGTCACACGCTGGCCAATACCAAAATTTTAAGAATATGTCGTCCTCTGAAATTGAAAAATGTTTGGAAAGAATATCGAGTAAACTGGGGTTTCAACCTTTTAACATATAGACAATATGTTTTTAAAATTGTGTTCTTAACTGGTTACAGTTTTTCCCCCTAGAGAATGTACAACTGGAATGGGGCGAAAAAAAAAAAAGGGGCCCTTTTTCCCCGCTTTTGGGTTAAAAACCCCCCAACGAGGGAACAGTGTGTTTTTTCCTCCGTTAAGTAACCCGGTATTCCTTTTTCCGAAGAGGGACAGCCCCCAACGGGGTTAGGGCCCCTTTGGAAAGGGAACATGGAAGCCGATGGAAAGATATTTTTCGACGGGAGAAAAAAAATACGAGTTATGGGAAAAGAATTTTGGGGGGACATTTGCTTTTTGCTGGGGCAAAAGGGCCCACCATTTTGGAGCGTGGAGAAAAAGAAAAAGGGGGACGGAGAGAAAAAAATGAAAAAACCCTACGCCGAATTGATACGGGGTTTGGGATGATTAAAAACCCTTTCCCTGTTTAATGAGAAAAGCACAGATGAGGGGAAAAAAGGTTTAAAGATTTGGGGGAAAAAAATTTTTGCGGGTTTAAAGGGAAACCCAAAGTTAAATTGGGCCTCTAAAATGAGCAAAATTCTTCAGAAAAAAAATATTTACAAAGTGTTAGGGTTTTTAAAATCATTGGCTGAGGGCTATTCCAGCACTGAGGAAGGGTTTGAAGAGATTTTAAGTGAGGGCTGTTGTTTGAAATTTGATTCTAAAAAGGTTTGCCCAAATTTCTTTTAAAGCCTTTTGCCATCCATTAACGCAAGGAAGAGCCGAAAAAATTTAGGGCCAAGTTCAAAAAAGTTGAGGAGCTATGAAAGCACCGAAGTTTTAGCCCCCTTTTCCACTGACGACAACGGGATGAAGGAAGTAACTTTTAAAAGTTGTGGCCAAGGGGAAAAGAGAAAAAGGGCCCGGGAAAATAACCTGCTTCAAGTGGCCAAAAAGGGGCAAAAGGGCCCGGGGAATGTCCCGTTTTTGGAGAGCCCAGAAAAAGGAGACAGGGGTTTGATTTTTTGCAAGAGCTCCACTCTACTGACGCAAATCGGGACAAAAAAGAAGGAAAGTGAAAAAGCAACAGAGTGAAGGCCCCCTTTTGATTAAAAATAAGTGACTTTTCGGGTTTGTGGACTGAAACTTTTAAAGGGGAGGGTTTGAAGGGGGAGCAACGTCACTTTACAGTCACGGACATCGGGAAGTTTAAGGAGTTTGACAGGACTTTAAAAAAGGGAAAAAAACATTCCGGGGGACCCGGCGACGGAAAAAAGAAGAATGGGTGTGCGGAGAGGAGGGGTCCCGCGGGGGTTTTCCCTGAGAGACAACACGGGTCGTCGGGTAAAAACAACGCTAAACAAGGCGTTTGATTTGCCGTCGTTTCCACGGACATTTTCTCTTTTTTAAAGCAGGGGACACCCAAAACGGAGCTTCAGTCAATTTCCCGGGACGGGGGTTTTGAAAAACAAGCTCACCACAAGAACGTCCCATTTTGACACAAAGGGTATGATGATTTTAATATCAAAACACTTAAGTGAGAAAAGAGGGATGGAGTAAGGGGGCCCTATGATTTTTAACAAATGGCCCAAAATTTTTGGCCACTGAAATTTTGGGATTTTGTCAAAGTTAAAAAAATTTGAAGAGGGAATAAAAATCAAAAGGTAAGTTTGGGGACAAATTCCCCTCAACGTAAAATTCTGAAACACGGGGAAAAAATTTTTTTTCAGGCAGAAACAGGGGGACCCTGATAAAAGGGAAAAAAGCAGTCTTGAGTTGGGCCCCAACTGATTTGGTTGGCCCTTTTGGCCAGAGGCAAAAGATGGGTTCAGAAAATATTTCTAGCTTTTAAAGGAGATTTTTCAGGGGCTTTTTTGTGTTTTTTAAAAAAGGAAAAAAGGGATACTTTTAAAAGGGAACTGAAAAAGGTTTTTTGCTTGTGGCCCCTTATGGAAAAAAAGTGTGTCGGGGCGGGATAATGGCACAGAGTACACACCCAAAGGTTTCCCAGTCATGCCTCAGTAAGAACCCATAAGACAGGGAAAATTCACCCCCTTATCACCCCCTTTAAAAAAGGGGACCGCTGGGGAAAAATTGGAAAAAACACTGTTTGAAATGGCAAGATCCCTGTACTGAGAGCAACCTCCCCCAAATAATTGTGGAACATATGCTGTAATGACTGGTTGCAGAAATTCGAAAATGGGGGTTTTACAAAAGGTTTTTGGGGACAGGGCCCACACTAATGTTTACTGGGGAAAGCCTGATTTTAAAGATGAAAAAAATTTTGGGTTGTTGTTTTGGCAACGACAGAAAAAGGGAAAAAAGTTGGACTAAAGAGGGAAAGGGTTTTTTGTGGGTTTGAAAAAAATAGTCCACCCTTTACCTAGTTACTACCCACCCCACGGAAAATTTCTTAAAAAAAAAGATTAGTCAATTTTCTTTTACAAAGGGGGAGTCAAAACGCCAAACTCGGGAAAGTTTTGGAAAATGGTGATTGATCTTCATGGGGGGGAAAATTTAAATCCCCCAGCCAAAACCCAAGAGGGCCCAGATAAAAATTTCCGAAGGGGAACAAGATTGCAAATCGGGGACTTCGATATCAGGGTCCAGGGTATCCAGACAGAGGGGGAAAGGGAAAAACCCCCCAGGTACTTAAAAAAACTATGGGGGGAAATGAAGTGTGGGGCCCAGATCCACCTAGGTTGACTACTGCACAGAGTAAGTGCAACCCACCCCCAAACCATCAAAAAAGCAATAAATTTCACCAAAATCAGAGTTTTGGGTTTTACGGCTTTTGAGGGAAAGGAGATGGTTCCCCTTGGGAAAAAATTATACATCACATTAAACCACCTGCAGAGGGAAAAAATGCGGGGGGGGCAGGGGGGGTCTTTTGGGGGTAAAAAAACAATTCAGATGGGGACTGGGGACTTTAAAAGGAAAGATATGTTCCCAAAGGGGGTTTATAGTAAAGGGGCCGGAAATTTAAATTAAGGAGACTTTTTCCCCAACCCGAAACTTTGACATCAGTACTTTGTTTAAAGAAGCTAGCACCAGTATAAATTTTTGGGTTTTACATCAGAGGGTTTGTAAAAACCCGCATATCAAACCATGTCCTATGACTGTGAAGTTAAGGGAGCAACCAGGGGGTTTTTGGGAAATTCAGGTAGACAAGGTAAAGCAAAAGTGAAAAACTAAAAAAAGCACGTAAGTAAAAACGGTGGGAAAGGAAAAAAACGGGAAAACAAAATTTGCATGATCACCTTGGGAAAAGGGGTTTTACACAGAACCCAGCTGATAAATGGGAAAAAAACAAACAAACTGCAACAAAAGGGATCATTTTGAAATTTTGGGTTTCGATGATCAAATTTACGCGGGCTAGTGAAGTGACCACTCACAAGGGGAAAAGAAATGTTAAGTAAAAAAAATTTAAGATGAAAGTTTTCTTGGGGGGCTTAGACTTTTCCTAGGCTTTGATTTTACAAAAAGTAAAGGGGGAAAAAAAAAAATGAGCCAAAACGGGGTACAAACCAAGATGGGGGAAAAGGTTTTTTTTGGTATTCAGACTTTTTAAAACAAGGTCAAAACCCATGTGAACAAAAAAAAAATTTTGATGGGATGGTGAAACCGGGGGATTCAAA